CCCCCCCCCCAGCTTCTTGGAATGTTAAGTTAAATACTATCATCATGCAAGCTTCTTCAGTCAAAAAGGCAGAAGTGTAAAATAAGCCTTCCCTCCTGGTCATATATCTACTTGTTTGCAAGCTTAACTTTAGACACAGTGTTAATCTGATTGAATTCACTGCTCCTACTCACATTCTTAAAGTTAAGCAGGCATCTGAGTGTTCGCAGGCTTGAGGACAAAGTAAAGCTCAAAAGCAGAAAAGAAACGTGCATAGAAATGTTGGACTGAGTAGCGAACATGTTCTGGCTTCGACATATTTTATGTTCCCTTACAGGTGAAAGCACACGTATATTACAAGAAGCTGAAGTATATATTATTCCTTCAGATATTTGTAACAGTTTTGATTGGTATGCAGGGATGATTACTGCAAATATGCTTTGTGCTGGTGATGAATCAGGAGGTATAGATAGTTGTCAGGTAAGATGCATTTTCTACTTCTAAAGGCAGTAGCCAAACCAAGAGGTTATTAATGCAGGGACATTACTGGGCACATGCCAGCAATCACACCCATCAGAGCTTGAGTGCAGGTGAGGCACATGCTGAGGGCTGTTCTTAGCCACTTGGTCTGATTTTTTTTTTCAGTACTGGGTGCACACAGCCTGCTCCTTGGCAGCGTGCAGAGGGAGTTGAGAATCTCCAAGAAATAATGTAGGCAGTCTTCCAGCCACATCAGTTTTAGCAAATGCATGTTTGCCTTGGCCATCCACATGTCTGGGATATAATTTTTGTTTTGCCATCAAAATATATATATTACTGAAGTGATTAAAATTTCTTTGTTTCTTCATTCTGAAATTGGGGAGGGTTTTTTTGTTTTGTTTTCCTTTTTAGGGAGACAGCGGTGGACCTTTAGCATGCTATGACCCTTCTGCCAGCAAATACTACCTGACAGGGATTACAAGTTTTGGGTTTGGCTGTGGCCGGCCTAGGCTTCCTGGAATCTACGTGCGCATGTCTCAGTATGACAGATGGGTAAACACTCATATTTTGCTGGGCAGCAAATCTACAGATACGAGGATTTCACTGGCCTTGAACTTCTTGTGTGTGGGGTGGATATTACTAGAGACTGCCTGAAGAGCATGCTATTATTTCAGTGTAATAGAAGTTTCAGTATTTTCTCAAATTGCCACTTGAATGTTGTCCAGTGGGACAACTACTCATGTTTTTTTTATGAATAACTGTCATTAACAAATGTGGATAAATGCTTTTTTCTGTATTAGCACAAGGTGTTTTATCTATCCAGTCCACATATGTATATGACCTATAATGAAGCCTTTTACTCTTTTTGAATTGATACTAATCATTGTGTATCATAAGTAAGTGAAGCAAAGCATAAGCAGTAGAGAGAGATTTTATAGAATTATATTAGCATGTTCTGTGGGCTTCACCTTTAAAAATATGAAAGCCAGTCTAGTATAAGGCTATGTATTATGTTGATAAGTAGGCATAAAACAGCAGGTTTTGTCAAAGTAAAGCAGAAAATTATTATTTTGGCCAAATCACAAAATGCATTCCATTCAAGGCTCGAAGGGACACAGTCAACTATATTTCGCTCTGTATTATTGTACCATTTGTGTTATTGTTCTATTATTACAATATCTTAGCATCTAGAAAATAAAATGCGTTTCACACCAAGATAAGTCCTGATTTTGTTTTGTCTGTAGATAAAATTCCCAAACATGCCAGTAAATTCACACTCTATGGGAATCTAGTTGCATAGAAATTATTTAGGAAGGAACATTCCCTTCTTTTCAGGTAAATACACTTTCCATATTTATTTAAAAGTGTGTGTGATTTTTACAATCCATTCCTGCCCATCACTGAGTTCAGCACAAATATAAGGAGAAATGAACAATAATCTTTCTACTATAAAATGTGAAACTGACCATATAAATAATATATTAACTGGAATCAGAAATAATTTTGGGGTTTTTTTAACCTCAATCTCTTTTCAGCTCTAGTAATCAGGTGTGATACAGCATTTACAGGCAAAAATGGGATTTTTAAACTAGCTCATGCTCCCTCTGCTGGATTACTAACAGCAAAGCATAGAGTATTTTCTAATTGTAGGTAATGGCAAAGATTAATTTAAAACTGACAGCCCCTCCCTCCACAAGCCACAAAAATCCAAACACAGATAGTCAGAATATAGTAGAAATTCCTCAGTAAATTATCTTAATTTTAAGGGTATTTTGAACCTGGGACAACAGATTCCTTTTGACTAGCAATCAATTTTGATTCAATAAACAACGAACATTAAAATTTTATTTTGGGGTCTTTATTACTGAGGTCAAAAGTTGCAGCCACCTATATTTCAACAAATATTTACAATTCATATGAAGTATGTACCTATGTTTGGAGAGAAATGGAGCAATGGTATTCAGTATTTATTTACATTACTTTCTGGATACAGTTTTGTAACTATTACCACTTATATAAGAAAATTGTATGCATGTTGCCAGGTAACTTCCTCCTGACCAAAAAAACACTTGTAAGAACAAGCCAGTACGATTGCTTCCTACTTCCATAATAATAATTAAAAAAAAAGGCCTAAGCTTCTGCTTCTTAAAACATTACCACATCAAGGGGATAGTAACTGATTAACGTATTTCTCAATAGCAGCTAGGCAAGATTCTTTGGGTAAATGTGATATCTTTTATTAGACCAACTAAGTAGTTGGAATAATTGTTCTTTGCAATTTTCTGGGCACAGGCACCCTTCTTCAGAAGATATCACATCTACCCAAAGAACCTTGTCTGCTTATGTCCTTAAACCAATATGACCAACCAACAGCCCTCACTCAGTGCAGCCATCAATTCAGCTCAGTGGAGCTAGAATCAGCTGCTAATACAACCTTGAAACTTATCAGTTTAAAAAAAATGCCATAAAGGGATCTTTACAAAAAACAACAGAAGGACAGCAAACAGTCAGGATTCAAATACCAGCCAGGACAACTAGTGAGCCTGGTAAAGCATTAATTCTGATAGTCAAACTCTGCTTACAGATGCACACCTGTCTCCTTTTCAAGTTAATGAACGTTTTGTGCACCTCCAAGGGCAGAGTTTGCCAGAAGGATGCTGAACGCCTTCTGAAAAATGCTTATTATACTATACTCCTATTGACCCTAAAGGAAGCATAAGGCAGTTTGCACCTCTTAGGATAGGTTTGTTCCATCATAAATACCGAAAGCCAGCCTTGCAGTTTTTACCAGTACTGAGCAACAAATGCATTTTAAGCACTTCAAGAGTTTTTTTTACATGATTTGTGAACTCCATTTTGTTTCAAGGAACTGTAGAGGGAACTATGTCCCATGATAGTTGCATTTGCTGAAGTTTATAAAGATAACAAGCAAGTCACTACCACAGCTCATGTAGTGCAAAGTTCTGACTTATCTGCAAACAGTCTATATGCTGGCTAGGAAGCCGGATACTACAAACAAACCAAAAAAAAAAAGACTGACGACTCAAATGTTGAGTGACCTCATATAAGCAGTACACATGTAGGAAGTAAATTAATCTTTAATTCCACTTGTTTGGGCTAGAACAACGCAGTCAAACACAGCACTGCCTCTTAGTCGTAACATAGTCAGTTGTGCAATTCCAATACATATAACTGCAACCAGAATGCAGTCAAAACTACGGAAAAAATAGTGCATTACCATTCATGCAAAAGCAATGCCTATATACTGTTTTATTTGTACCCAAGAGTCCTGATCACATTAAATATCCTTTAATTGTTCACTTGGGGGAAAAAAACCCAAGTAAAAATGATACATACCAAAATTCCTGATAGCATTTTCCATTAAGTTCAAACACATGCAAAGCTTTACTGACTATGCCAAAAAAATTTAACTTATTTTTTCCAATAAGATTTTTTTAGGATTTATTATTTTTGTAAATTGCCTAGAGATGCATATAAGAGCAATTCAAATATTTCCCACCATAGAGGATTTAAATTTACTTTGTACTATCCATAAAAATATATGATTGAAAATCTGAGGCATAAAATATTCTATTTTTTTTATTAAGAGGAGCTGTATAAACAGTAAAAACTGTTAAAATAGGCATATAAATTCAATTTCAGAATTTGTAAAGATTTTAGTTTAACTATAAAATATACCCACCATCTAACTGTTTTGAATAGACTATTTTGTTACAAAGATACCATTTTTTGTAAAATATCGCCTACCTTACAAAATAAGTTTGGTAATTGTGCACTTTTTAAAAAATTTATAAGCCCTATATTAGAACCTTATTAACCCCTTTGGTATGTATCGTTAGCTTTTTTTTCTTTTTTTAATTTTACTCTTCCTTTTTTGGTGTGTAAACTTTACAACTAAACACAGTAGGATCTCCAAACAGAATAAGCAATGCATGTTCAGTTGTACATATAAATCAGCACACAATTTATTTTTCAATTATAGAAGCTTATCTCACACAGTAATCAAGAACACAACTATTTAAAAAGCATTTTTCAACAGCTCTGGCTCAGCTGTACCCATTCTACCAAAAACTAGGTTTAAAGTAATTGGATGTGTTGAATACACTTAAGTTGCCAACACCTTAATACTCATGTGCCTTGGACATCTTCCAGGATTAGGCCTGAAAAATTTGCATTGCTTTCTGTGAAACCTCCATCTGAGAAACACAGCAAACATTTCATAAAACAAAAAACCCTAAAACCCTTTAAACCCTAAGCCCTTTAAACAAACTGCCAGCTGAGAAAAGTAAATATAATTTATATTTTTATCAAAGTATTAGTTTCTTTTTATCCTCTACACCTGTAAGTTAGAAGTTACAGGTTGAAATAAAAAAATATTTACATACAAATAACTGAAATAAAAGATAAAGATCAGAAAACAATAAGAAATTAAAACATACTGGTTATATATGTTGCTAATCCTGGTAAGCTAATGGGAAGGATTCCATTTCACCCACATTTGAATAGTAATAAAATATTGCTGCTGTTACAAAATTGATTTTTTTTTAGTTCAGGAAACTCAAGTCACTTGTCAGGTAAAAATGTGCATGTCCTTTTATGGTAGATATAATCTTGAATGTAATGATATTTCCAGTTGCACCAGCAAGAATTTAGGTTATGTTTCTTGTTTCCTTTTTTGTATTTTGTCACCATCTTGTAAATAAAATCTTTACAGTCTTTAGGTTGTGAAAGCCTGGTAGAAAAGTTTAAAATTTTTGACCTTTCATGTAGCTTTTTTTGTTTTTATTTTTTTGTTTTTTAAAAATCAGTATAAAAAATTCCCCTCTGAAATTCAGACAGTCCATAAAAAGTTTTGCCTCCTTTGCTTATACACTCTTATGGCAGTAAAGATCTTTCAAAGTTTTTAGCTCTTCAATTAAAGTTTTGTTTTGATTTTCCAGAACAGCAACTCTGTTTTCCAAGCATTTAACATATTCTTTCTTCTTCCTGCGGCATTCTCGAGCAGCTTCTCTAAAAATCAAAGGCAGAAGTTGTCAATTATTTTACACTGAATGTAATTTGCTTTGAGTACCTATTCCACTGGAAGCTACCACACCTGTAGGCAGGCACCGAATCTAATATTTCATGGTTAAATAAAGAAATTGTGATGGGCTTGAAAGGAAAAAATGTTCTTAGCCTTATCCCCAACTTCAGTGGGACAACATTTGTAACATGTTTTGGTCACAATTTCTAACATTTTCAGAAATGAGGATAAAGAATAATGCATACAAATTTGCTTACATGGGATTCAGAAGTCTGAACATAAAAAAAACTAAGTACTTATATTACAGCTTTCACTAAATATGTAGTAAATATAAAATCCACTTAATTGAAAAAAATTAATCTCTATATACATATGTAAACTACATGAACACTAAAGTACAAAAAGTACTTCTAAATAAAGTAAACAAACTGAAGAGGGGAAACATTTTTCCCTCATTGCTTAGCACTCTTAGAGGTGAGTAGACTATAACAGGTAAAAATAATTCACGGGCAGAAGTGTGATTTTCAAGCTGACTTTGTACCCTCAGTGCACCTGATACCTGAAGTTATGGTTCAGTAGAGCTGTTAAGAATCCACGTTCAGTTAGGCAAGGTGATTGCAAAGCAGTACAAGGGAACTTACACACCTGTTCTTCATCAGCCTTATCTCTCGTTTCAACTGTGGATCATCTGTTTTGGTTGTCTGAGATGTCAGGGTGACAGGAGAAGTCATCACTACAGTCTGAGGGAGGGATGTGGTTGTTGGTGTGGTGCGGATCTGGTATGTCTGCATATCTCCTGATGCAGCTGTTAGGACAATATAGTAAGATATTAAATTGTAGAAGGCTTAGAAAACTACATCTGGATTGGAGGCAGGGGTAGTATGTCTAAACCCTTTGTAGAACGCATACTTACTCTGCACTACCACCTGGTTGCTGGGTACTAGTATCTGCTGACCATCCGACGTCTGTGCATACTGTAGTATCGTTGTCCCAGGCTGAGTACCACTGGCATTTGTCATTGTTAATGTCTGCAGACCTTGTACACCATCTGTACCTGGACTGGCCAGCTGTAATGCTCCATTGGTGGCAATAGCAACTTCAGTGAGAGAGGAAAAATAGGGTAGATACACAGAATATATTTTTCTTCTGTATCTCTAAGATATGAACACAATGAATCTACAATAACAATATCCACTTCCAATACAACAGACTATCTTAAGCAGTTACTCTCAGGATCGGAAAGCTAATTTTGTGCCAACTTTAAAGGCTTTTTTTTTTTGACAGATACTGTTGGATTCATACTATGTAAGTATTTAAAAAAAAAGTGTAATACAATGTTAACATCTTTTGTACTATTAAAACTAATAAATTTAAATAGCCTTTTCACAGTCATGTGGCTTGTTTGCTGTTTGCATTTCACAGAACACGAAGACTAAAGAACAGACTCATCAACTTTTAGTTGCTTTTACTGGTAAGCTTATATATAAGCACTAGGCTGCAAACATATATGGATATGTGGTATTAAAATCTTCGCAAGTTCCTTCCCGACTGACAAAGACATCTATATTGGCCTCAAATTTCCAACCAAATGTAGTGCTTTTAAGACAGCCTTCACTGCAAACACACACCCTAAATTAGCTGTGCCCAACTGTACACTATTGCTGGGACAAGAGCCCCCAAAGCTATGGCTAGTTTGTATACATTTATATCTAGTAGCTTGTACCCTGTGAAAATTCACCTTGGTAGAAGCAGAGCTTCCTTCTCTCCTCTCCAGTCCTGTCCTCCCTCTGCTACAATCCAAACTCCCTGTTGACTAATTAGATTGTGACATCAGTGGTGAGTGACAACGTGGTTAGCAAGAGAGGTTGATGGTGGAAACAACAAATGTGACTATTATATGTAGACATTTTTATAATAAAAAAAATAAATGCAAAACTTACATATTGCCTGTATTTTCATTTAACCCCTAAAAGATAAAAGACACAGGGCCTGATTTTCAAAAACTCAGTACCTGGCAAAATTTTCTATTTTCAATGGGAAATGTCAAGTGCCAAATATACTTGAAGAATCAGGCTGATTTATTTAGATGTTTACCATGGGAGCTGAGCTCTTCTGAAAATCCATTCCCAACTCTGGGAACTGAACACAGATATTTTTACTATTTCTTCCCTTGTTCCTAATTTTTAACATGGGTATCAAAACAAAGAGGTAGTGGTATATACTAGCTCACCCTAACTAGCAGCTGACAAGTAAATATTTTCAAAGTTTAGGGTACTATGACAGATAGTTCACACTTCCTGTAGAGTAGAAGTACTGAGTATGGAGATTGGTCAATGAAAGGCCAATCAACATAAAAGTAGAGGCACATTCTGTCACTGTTAGTCAGGAAGAGTTGCTAAGTGAAGGAAGATTCTTCACTTTAACTTCATATAGCTAGCCAAGAGGCAGACAAGAGCAACAGGACCATTGAAATGTCAGATTTGGAAAAAGAAACTTACACCATGGCCAGAGCTACTGGAAAAGCAACAGCAGAAATGGGGGACACCCATTTTATTTTCCAGCTGGTGCCTCAGACCCACTGAAATTCGCCACATTCTGCTAAAATGAAGATGCAACTTTCACACCGACATTTTATGATTCTAAAGATGTAAATGGCCAAGTCCTTGCCCAAAGGGCAGGTCCTGGGGTAGTGAGAGGGAAAGTAGGTCTCTTGCAGACTATCTGACCAAGAGAGACAAAGAGGGTACATTGCTTCCTAGAAGCATAGGAAATAGTCTGTTACAATGCTGTAAATAATGCTGAAGTAAGCCTAAATTATTCACAAGGCAAGTATGTATACGTGCAATCTCTTGTATAAGTACTATTTTCTTTTGTGATTCTTTATCTTGTTTTATTTAGACCAGCTGTGGTCTTGGATGGCTGCTTGGGGAAACATCTTGCAGATCATCCCAAATAGAATGACTTCAAGAAAGGAGGCATATCTGGAACAGCAGTACACTCAGGGTTGTCAGTCACAACAGGTCCGATTAAAGTGGTCCTTTGCCAGAAGGTCCATCACTTGCATGGAAGACGAGAAAAGTCACCTGAGCACCATTGTAGAGAACCAAGTTAAAGGGGATTCAAGTTCCAGAGCGCATATGGAAAGCACTATAGTAAACAGTTATGGCCAGTACTAAATAGTTCAGCAAATTGTTTTAGAAAGGAGGTGATTAAGCAGAGATTAAAAGCTAGTTTGCCAGTTAAGACGTTTAACTTGAGAGTCAAGAAATCAGGGTGAAATTCCTGGCTCTTCCGTCAACTTCCTCTATGATCTTGGACAAATTACTCCATCTTTCTTTGCGTCATTTCCTCATCTGTAAAACAGGGATAACAGTCCTTCCTTTTTCTCAAACAAGTATCTTATGATCCAAATGACAAGCTCTGATCCAGGGTTGGTCTGTCTGCGTGAAGGAACAGCATCTAGCACAATGGGGTCTCTAGCAAGTACACTAATTGCAACTAAAACCGTACTCTAGGGGTGTCAAAAATAAGGCCCGTGAACTAGATCCCCATCATGTGGCCCACAGTGTGGCCTAGGGGTCCGAGTGGATCCACACACCGCATGCAGTACATGCTGCACATGGAGTTGGTTGGGGGCATGTGCTGCACACAGTGCTGGTGCCAGATCTAGCATGCGAGGGCAGCCTATGGGCCCGATCCAGCCAGCAGATCAGGCCTGTGCCATCTGTCTAGCCTAAGGGGCCTCATGGTTTAACACTCCAGCTATAATCATATTGTTAACCCTCGCATTCACATCCCATTTTTGTTTCAACTTAGGCTCAAAAATACATTACACACATACATACATACATACATACATACACACAATTATACTTTGGGGAAATTTAACAGGCATGTGTCTATTAGGTTTATATATCATTTAACATACTGTACTGTCCAGTGCTGGTCTGATAGATAGGTGCAGGAACAGACACAGATGTAACAGTGGAAACACCAGGACTTTCTTCATCTCCCTTTCTATCCCGTGTGTCTTCAGAAGAAAGGTCGTTCAAGATTTTTCTATGGGGAAAAAAGTCATTAGCACTGATAGAAAACTCAGGTATGCAAGCTGGTTGGCAATTTCTCCTCTCAAGAGGAATGAAAAAATTGTTGCAGACAAGTCTCTCTCTACTGCTGGCACTTTTATAAAATTGTGCTAAGTGCAGTTGTAATTGAAGACAGATCAGCCAACACCACCTTTACTACAGACACATGCTGCACACAGCTGATAAAGCACACTGTTACATACAGAAGAAAAATCCTGACCCATGAGTGGCTGAAGTAATGTGACAAAATAGGTAAATGTCTTGTTACCTCCTCAGACAAAAATTGATTATATGTTTAGACGCATCATTTCTTCAAGTAGAGCAAATGATAATCAGCCGGATTACATTTGCAAATGGAGTTATACTTTATGTGAAAATTCCATTTAAAGTGTTTATACAAACTCCATTATAGATATGAATAACAAGTATTAATCATGTATTAACTCTTTATAAATGAAAAGGTGACATGGTAATTGAATATACATTTTGAACCAAATATATACATGCTCCCTGGCTGCAGCCAAATTCAGAGGCGCCTACCAGTTGCTTTGGATTAGCCAATCACAAAGTATTCACAAGTCTTTATTTCCAACTAAAGAATTAATGTAAACAGCTACTTTTCCGCAGTTATTTTGGGGTTTTTGTTTTTTAAGATTCAGGTCTGAAATTAGAGGTTTCTGGGTATTTTAGCAAGAAATTCAGACTATACCTACAGATATACTGACTTTATATTTCAATTATCATCAAGCTTTGCTATCCTTCAAGGCAAGCACTGGCTTTACATCTGTTAGTATTAACTCTTATGTCAAGAAATCCTGATATTCAATAGATTTCCACTAATTCTTAGAAGATAACATTGATACAGTATTTAAAGTATATCATCATACTTTAGTAATAATAGTAGTCAATAAACAGACAGTCTGAAAAAAGCAACTTGAGGAATATGAAACAGATATGACGGCTTTTCATTTGGGAGTATCCTCTTGTGCCCTCTTCAAGTAATGGCTTCCATATTCAATAGTTTCTTGTTTCTCCTCTAAATGTTTGAACTACTTCCAGTACAGATACAAACAATAAGTAAATAAAGGCACTGATTTTTTAAAGCAGTTGTATACATAAGTGCCAATAAGATTTTTAATTACTAACCTCTAAAAAACCAGAGTTTTGTTTTTTAACAGATAAGCCCCCATAATGAATATTTACAATATATTTTAATAACCTGTAGTGAAATGATGTGCTGTAAGCCCAATGCTTGGATGTTTTGAAGTGGCTCATCAAAATTTTCCAGCCAGACTTGCTGAAATACAACACGTTCCTGCAGATGTCAGATTTTTCCCCGATTTGTTCTAGCAGTGCAGCTGCATCACTTCAGTAAAGACTGCACTGGAATTTCCATCATAAACATTTTCCAGTGATTTCAGACTTGTCTATCGGAGCCTTTTCTAGTATAAAACCCAATTCTGATTCTCCCAACACAATGGGTTTGTGTGTATACTAATGTAATTAAAATTAGTTAGCAATTTTTTGTTGTTAGAATAATGTGAAAAAAACAAGGTGCTTCAATTTTTCTTTTAAATTTAATCACTCTTTTTTGCTCTCTGAATACACAACAAACTCATCACAGAATTAAAATGCACCAACTAAATCTAACACCATACAAAGATTATTTATTACTATACATACCAAAAAAACAGACAAGCTGTAGAGACAGAGCCCTGTTCACACTCACTGGGCTATATAAACAATTCAGCAATGTACTTAACCACATATATAAAACTTTAACCTCGTTTTTGGTGCAAGTCAATACAACTCCCCAGAAGACAATGACTTTTCATGCTTTGCCAACAGTGAATTTATCTTGGACTATTAGAAATAATCATTTTTGCTATCCACTTCCATTTAAAATTCTACATTACCGGGAAAAAATAAGAACCAAACCATTTCAATGTAAATATTTTTATAAAGTACTCACCGGTAAGATGGGCGACGGGCTAGGATGCCTCGGGCTTTCTGTGAAGAGCCTATGCTATCTGATGAGTCCTGAGAATCCTCACTCTCTGACAAAGAAGTTACCTAAAAAAACCACATCCCATACATTATTGTGCTGTACACTACATGAGAAATAGCCAAGACAGCTTAAATATTTTAATTTTACAAAACCAAAAATAGCCACCAAAAAGCACCAGTAAAATGGCAAATATACAAAGTGCCTATTTTCTGTCTCACATCATGTGTAGAGCAAATGTGCTGAGTAGCCTGTGGTATGTAATCCAGTTCAAAGAAAGAAGAAACTGAGTTCCTTTCTGGTTATGTTATGGATGCACAAACCTGAAGAGAAGTGTTTATCCTCAAAACTTGACTACTTTTTAAGGTGATTTATACGTGATAGACTAATCTTCAATACCTGCTTAGCTGTGCATTTTCTACATAATTTGAAAAAAAAACTTACACATTACAAAAATATTACATTCCTTGACTGCAGCATTTCATTTCTATATATTTTCTGTCTCAGTTTATAACACATCTGAATAATAAAGACATAAGCAACCCCCAAAAATCTGTTGCAAATCTAACATCTAAAAACATACCTAAAGAAGACTGCATTGCATTCAAATGCTTGTCTAAGTCTATCCAACCACGCTGTTGATCCAAGAGCAGATATCACCCACAAAAATCCTTGCCTCTTATCTAAATTGCATCTATTTGTAACAAGAACTATATCAGGAACCCCAGAAGCACTGGAGAAAGATTTCCTGTTCTGTTCGCCAAACAGAGCCCACAAGCAATAATCTTGGCAGCAGATAGTGAATTTTAGGAGTTGGGCCCCCTTCAACAAAGGCTATGTACTTTCCCTTATACAAATCTCCTGAGGAAGCACTGTGAAAGGCATTTCTAATGCACAACATTTATTATAGGACAACTAATCACATACTTTGGTCAGTCAGTGAACTTATAATTCCAGTGAACCAAGGAAAATGAACATTTAAAACAGCGGTATCTTAGGAAGTAATAAATATGCAAGAATATTTATAAAGCAACTCAAGCTGATATTTTTTTAATAGTTTTTATCTGTGATCTCTTTTTATTTCATTTGATTCCTCCTCCTGTTGGCAAGGTCATTTTTTTCTTTGATGTTCCTTGTTAAATAGAAGCTAACAAGACTTTTACTTGTCTCAGCAAGAGTACCTAAGACTCTGGGAAAAGTACTTCTCTTTGTTAACTGTCACTGTACAGTCAGCAGAGGAGGGTTTGCTATCAACGTTTAAAGAAAGTTGCTAACGTATATTTCGTCTCTCAACTAAGTCACAAAGTTCACAAGTCACAACAGGAGAAGGCTTGGGTTCAGTGGTGACCACTGTGCATTACCACAGGAAGGGCTGGCACTGAATGGGTAGCGATCACACAGAGTTGGATGCTGAAGTTGTTTTGAGCAAAGCAAGTACATGTCTCTTTCAGGGACTGATTTGACAAATGCACCTGAAGAGGCAAGAGGCGCTCAGTATACTATAGAATTACACCGCGATGGCAAATTAATCCATTTTATCAGGATTCTCCCAGCCATTTTATTGCCCACTCTGACAATTTTAATTTGCAAGTTCAGTGCACCATGATGTTCTGAGGGTTCACTGCAGCCAACACTGAGCTGAAGCAGATAACAGACTTAAATTATATAAACCTGAAAAAAGGAAAATGATATTCAACATTAACTCTAAGGACACCTGTGTGCACTGCAAAGTGCAAAAGTCATTAAATAAGAAATGTGTACCTAAAAATAAAGTGTTTTCAGACCCTGAATTTATAAACTATCTTCCTTGATATCCCCTACGCACCAGAATATTCATCGATACATCACTGGCTGTGATACCTAGCCGCACTGTGGCTGAGTTTAACTCATTCAGATAAGACTTTTAAGTCTCTTCACAAATGTGTCTATATACATAACAAGTTATGTGCTCAGTTACCTGCATTGCCTGCACCTGGGGTGAATGGATTACAGAAGATGACTGAGCTGTCTGAATGACTCCCTGAACCTGTACTTGTTCTCCAGGAAGCTGAACAACTGTCAGTGGAGTTGGGCCTCTCAGAGACATCTAAAACAAATAAATGATTTAGTAAGAACAGCAGTTGTATTCTCTGAACAACAACGGATAAAATGCAGATATACCTGTACTGTTTGTTTTAAAAAAGATGAAGGCATCATCAGAACCAAATGTCTCCCTTAAAAGAAAAAGAATATACTTATACAGTGGTCTAACTTCCTTTTAAATGCTAGTTTGTTCTCTCAAGTCAAAATGTGAAATTGTCATCATAATCCTACATGCAAATAAATATTTTGCCACCTGCTTGCAATCTGTTTGCTCATGTTCAGTATTCACTTATTGCCTCAAATTATATCTAAATTTCTTATTAAAATCTGAACTGCCCATAGAAGGTAAACTACAAAACAGCGCCAGTTTGCAGACAGGAAAGGAAGAGCAGGCTTTCTCCAGGAACATTTTTTTTTCCTAGATAAAATGGTCCAAAACATGCCATTCACTTCAAATGAGTTCTTAAAATGCTGTTACTGTACTTAATGAAAAAGCTGTCAAGGACAAAGACAACATTCCCAGTCTTCCACTTATATCCTCATGAATCTTCTTCAATAAAGCTAATAAGAGATCATTTGTAGACAAAATCTCAAACAAATTTTATTTATTCCACTCCTAAGCCACACGTACATTACTTCTCTGCTTGCAGAGGCAGCACGGTACACACTTAGGACCCTAAAAGCCATCTACTCTGCTTAAATGCTGGCATCAGGCACAAGCAGAGTGAGAAATAGTGGGCAGGGCTTGTGTCTTAGAAATGATCCTGTGCTCAGCAGGGAGAAGATACAGACATTGCCCAAATGGCTCAAAATAAAAAGTGCTTCAGATGTTCTGTGTGCCCATATCTCTGGCTGATGTCCATGGGAGCTGCAAATGCCCTCTGCATATTGCCGAGCTACCTCAGTGATCAGCTGGGTGAACATTTCTGAATATCTAAAATCTAACAAGAAAAAATGGCTACAAATTTTCAGCACTGAAATGATATAAGATATATGCACAAGGATATTCATTCTGTGGATTCTATTAAAAAAAAAAAAACAGCAAGTTTCTCACAATCCTACTTGCTTGTCTTCTTCCTCCCTATTTAAAGAAAAAAAAACCCTATCAAACCATTTAGCTTACAAGCAAAAGATTGCTCTTAACCTAATTCTTAAGAAATATTTGCTGTAGCCTGTCCCATGCTTTACCTGTTGAGCAATGTGAGAAAGGTGAGTTGCCTGTAGTGTTGTACCTTGTACAGTGGTTTGTGGAGGTGTCACTGAACTGTTGCTGCTGCTCTTGTGCACTTCTTCCATATCAACTACAAGAAAAAAATAAGGAATCAATTCAGTTATGGATAAAATATAGGTTGGAAGTTTCAAAGGGAGTGAGGTTCCCTACCTCCATTAACTTTCAATCGGATTGGGATGCTTCACTCCATCAGGCTTAACTGAAAGTCCCAGGCATAATTAATATTGTTACTTAATACCTCTACAGCAGCTTCCACCAGAAGATAAGGAAGCACTTTTCATGAAGCCTCACAATCCTCCTTTGACATACTTAGGTGTTTTCCTCCCCTTTTACATATGAGGAAAACAAAGAACAGACATGTTAGCAAGCTGCCCAAACCCACAGACTGAATCAGTGGAAAAGTCAGTGTACCACCCCATGATGCTGCCTCTCAGTGCTGTGCTAAGCCTCTGAAGCCTTAACCACAGTTTCTGCAGTTCAACTTTTTCAGCCCCAATTCAGATCTACCCATTGACCAAAACAAAGAGTACGTTCCTACCTTTTAATTCCTTTGCATCTCTGGATGCAAAGCAGCAGAAAGCAGACACTAGATTTTACAATCTATTTATTCAACTATCATTGAAAACTGTCATAAAACATTCAGCATTGTTCTCCAAGTGTAAGAGCATATTCAGTACACAAAATGTAATACTTTTAAGATCATAAAAAAAATTAACCAGATCTGTATATTTAGAAGTCAAGGGCACCCTCCTCAGATTTCTCACTGTTTACACTTAACCATCCAACATAATTTTAATGGAAAAGCCATAAATCAGCAGCTTTCGTGTAATGTAAAATGCATATGTTTGGATGGGGTGAGCAGGCAGACTGGACGAGGCATTAAAAGATGCTCTGTAAGCATTACATGTTTTGTCACACAAGGTTTGAAACAGTTGCAAGGGCAGTTGCTACGAGACTGGAAATTACATTTCTCTCTGTGGAAATGTGAGTCATTGATTTTTCCCTACTGAGATCAACCACAGCTCTTGCAGCTTGACGTATACACAGAGGGTAACAAGTCAGTAAGTGTGAAGTCTAGAGGCCTGCTCTCGCAATCCTTACTCATCTGGGGAAATTGCACTGAAGTCAACAGAACTCACTTAAGTAAAGTTGCAAGATCAGGCTCTGCAATGAGAAAACTGATGAGAGGGGAACAATAAGTGAGGTGTGTGAAACGGCACCTTCAAAGGAGAAACTAAGAATTCGTAAAATTTGACACCACTTTCCCCAAACTGAGAGACAACTGGAATCTTCCAAAAATGTAAGACAGTTTATACACATGCAGGCAACACCGTGCACCCTTTTTTATTTGGGTCCTAACAAAATGCACAAAACAAGGGGATATAAAAGAAGTGGTAAAAATCAGTTCTACTCCTATAAAGCAAAAACATGCAGTTTGCACTTCTGTTCAGCTACAACGTGACACTTGTTAATAGGAAACCATCAAACTGAAATCTAGTCAAATGCAAAAACACTAAAAGTAATTTCTGGTACTCCAGAAAACCCCAAGTAAATTCCTTTAGTTTTCAATGTCTTATTCTGAAACACTCTGTCCTGTTGCTGTATGAAAGACTTGCTGCAACACAGACAAACTAACTGTAACTAAACAATTAAATGGAATAAGAACAAAGTCAATCTGAAATGCTCAGAGTTCATTGAAAAAATATAGAAAGGTGTTTTTGCTCTTGTTGGGTGTTACCTTTGCAGTTTTAGCCAGGAAAATGACTTTTAAGTTGAAGCCAACTGTATCTCTAATTTCAGATGGCACTTAAAAGCGCTTATCTAACAACTGTCAATAATGAAAAGAGACAGCAAACTATTTTAACAAGCAAACAACCATTATTGTGTATTTGATTTGTGGCACTCGCATCCTCCACAGGATAAGGAAGCATAATATACTACCCAGTGACGTGCAACAAATTCTAGAGGTCTCTGCTTTGCTAAAGCAGATTATCTATCTGGAAAACATACTGCTTTCTGCGGAAGATATTTCTGATAATATTTTTAAAAGACAGTGGTTTCTACCTATTCAGACCTTTACTCTCAAAGGGTGAAAAACAGTTCTAATTAACACCTCAAGCCACAAGTTTTCAGCCAAAGAAAGATTTGCATACTGAATATGGAAAATTTACTAGCATTCAGCTTAACACCACAGCCACAACTACTTCCAACAACAATAAAACATTTGTTTGGAGGAAGCCAACTACATATTTTTGGGATGAAGGAAAAGTTTTTCATGGAACACAGAAAGCTGGAAGTAGGGAATTCACTGGAGTGATCAACACTGTCCAGAGGACTTGGGCCTACTGATGCTTAAGACATATAATTTGTTATTTTTATACTACTGTAGGTAGGGATGACCGTTTAACAAAAAACCCCCACTTCCTTGAGGATCTTACAGTTTAAATGAAAGGACTCTGAAATCCAACCACTCTGCAGAACACATCTGCTCCAAAGAACCAATCTTTCAAACTAATTTCTGAATTATGGTAGGAGTTTTGTTGTGGCCGTGACAGGTTCAGGGTATATGCAAGAAGCAAGGTTTCTTTGGTAACATCTTTTACTGAACCAACCATATAGTTGGGAAAGATATTAGACAAGCGTTCAGGTACAAAGCGTGCTTCCTGAGGATTCCAACTAATGGATTTTGAAATATCTGAAGAAGGTGATCAATTTTTAAAGATCTCAAAGTCTCTCCTAAGTCAAATCTGCTACTAGTCTTACTGGGATAGTTTTAAATATTGAATGACAACATTAAAAGGAATTCAAGTATGAGTTTTAGATCAATATAGTGCACTAATTTGGTTAATTCTAATGATGCTATACTGCAGACATGAGAAATTTTTAAGGAAAAACATTCCCAAAACCCCAGCAGAAACTTCAACAAGAAAGTCCCTTTTCCATAGGCAAAGGTTGTTACAGTCTTATACATGTTATTTGAATACTGGATACTTCAGGAGACTGTACATCCAATAGCCAGCAACTGGGAAGAAACTCAAATGAAAGCTGACCTACAGCTTCCTGGAAATCTGTGAAAAGCATATGCAATATGAGAAGGAGTCCTGGAAATACAAGCCAGGAAGCTAGTGAAGAATCTTCCTTCAATATGTAACAGATGTGTCTAAGAGCTGTGCTTAGAGCTCAGGGCCCTGCTCTGACATGTACGGCGCAGGAATAAAAATGCCACTACTCAGATCACACATAGTACTTTTTATCAACAGATCTCAAAGGAGGTCACTGCCATCATCTCCTTTTTACAGATGGGGAAACAGAGTCAGGGGGTGACGGGACAGGCCCAAGGCCACCAACAGACAAGAGGCAGAACCAAGAATAGTACCTATGTTTCCCAGTCCTGGTCCAGTGCTTCATAATAAGCAACTCTTTCTCTCTTTAAAGAAAGACAGTTTCTCTACTGAGGGGATTATGATTTAAGAACAGGAGAAGAGACAGTCGATGGTTGCAATGAAAGGGGGAGAGGAAAGAGAACATACCCCAGGAAACAATGAAACAACCAGCACCTCTGGGAACATGCTGCAAAAAAAAAAAATGAGCAAAAGAATGCTGCAGAACAGACAGCACAATGGTTTCCACTCCAAGGACAGAGCCAAGATACAGACCTTTGAGCAAAAAGCAGACGGCACAAATCACAACAGAGTACTTTTCCTTATCTCCGAGTAACAGTCCAACATTTATGTGGAGGGAGGGTTCTTGACTTGGAGAAACAAGACATACTGCTCTAGCCATAGAGCAATTTTTTAAGGGAGCCCCTGGGTATACCCAGAAGGAGCGATGCCAGAACTTGGATGATGACCCCACGAAAACCTTGTCTCTTGACGATTCGTAAGTACCTTTCCTTTGTTAGCCATTTCTAGACTCAGGTCTTTAAGGCTTAACCACCAAAAAAAAAGGAAAAAAAAGAAAGAAAAGAGGATTATATTAAAACAAGCATCCTCATATTTAAAACAGAGCATTGAAAACAGTCCACCTACGAGCACGGCATTAGCAACATACTGACAAGACTCGCGGGAAAATGAGTAACTCTGTGCATTTACTTGATGTCATTCGTATTAATCGATAGACGATAAGGATCTGGGGGAACGCCTGTTCACCACAGCGCCCCAAGGGATGACAGGGTCCGACGCTCACCGACTCCTGCAAGACCGCTTTAGTCTGGACACAAGGACAAATGTCTTCACCGTCCGAGCTGCCCAAGGCCTGCAACAGCCTCCCCACAGAGGCGGTGCAAGCACCTCCTCTGGACACGTCCAAGAAACATTTGGACGCTCATCTCGCTGGGATCACAGACATCGCAGATTTTAGGGTCGACCGATTAGATCATTGAGTCCGATCCTTCGAGCCCAGCTGACTTCCTGCCCCTTGGGGCACCCCACGACCTTGTGGCAGCCTGAACGCCTGCGATATCTATAATCCCAACAAGAGAGGAGGGACTTTTTTTTTTTTTTTTAAGGTCCAAGAAACGAACCAACAGACATGACGGCAAACTTGGGAACGGCAGGCGACAATGACCTACCGTGTTCCTGACCACGAAGCCGGTGAGCAAGTAAACCCGACCTGTTCTTATTTATGTATTTTTCCCCCAAACCTGCACGTGGAGGCGCACGAACCAGAAAACTTGGACGCTTTAAGCGTGGCCGAGCCCCGACGTGAAGCGCGAAGCGCCCCGGTCCCCCCAGGCCTGGCGGGGCGGAAACACGGCTGCCCCCCGGGGCAGGAGGGCGCGCAGCCCCCTGCGCCCGCGCCCGGGCAGGGGGGGGCTGTGGCGCGAAGCCGCACCCGCTTCAGAAATCACCCGCACGTGCCCCG